TCTCTCTTAGCTTTCTAAGTTCATTGGCAGTTCCTGTGTCCTTTTGACTGATCTTTCAGTTTGGTGACTTCTCATTTCTCATCTTACCTAGGAGTCAGCATTTATAATTTTTTGAATTAATGTATTTATGGAAAAAAGTCTGTTAGCTAGGTCAAGGCTGCCATTGGAATCTGAAATGAATTTCTGGTTCACAGGAGCTTACTCATGGCTTATTTTTATTGCTTGCACCTTTCCAATAATTTATCTGCAATGCTCCAACCCTCTGATAAGGACTAAGAACAACCAAAGCACACCAAGTATTCTACTGCCAGGGATGTTGAGCCAGCCTATTCTAGACCAAGCCACATATGAAAGACAGCTGGCAGGATAGCCCAGGGGAAGATATGAATTGAGGACTCAAGACCTAGGCATTGTGGATTTTTAAATACCTTATTTATAAATACTTCGATCTCCTTAGTCCTGTGCCTTCAGAAATTCCTAGAATTTTGATATATTGCAGGGTCTGAGCAGAGTCCCAAGCGTAGCTTATAGGAAATTTCTAACTAGCAAGATTCAATAGGAGCATTCTTTTTTTTTTTTTTTAAATAAAAGAAGTTCAGTGAAAACAAAATAATATTCCGTTTGTCTATGTCTCCAGATGTGTGTGCTCCATGCCTCTAGTTTAGTCCCCAGTGTTTATGATACTCTTCATAGCGAGTTCTTGCATTTTTTCTGGATAGACTCATATTTTATATTTGTCTGCACATCTGATTTGAGCTTACTCTGATTTCCCATTTTCCTACTAACTGGCTTTCTTTTGTTCAATGTTATATTTTATTTCAGGACAGCTTTTGCTCCATCTCTTCAGCATTCTTTATTAAAGGCATACAGCACAGTCTGGGAGATGAAGGGAGCAGAGGCTAGTGTGGTCCATCAGGGCGTTAGTGGTCCAGACAGAAGACAGTTAGGGGAGCAGTTAGGAACAGTTAGGGGACAGTTAGGAAGCAGAGAGAAGTTTTCCCTCTGTACAGCTTAGCAGGGGTAGGGGAGTCATGGGGCAGGGGAGGGAATGTTTTCTCTCCCTGGACAGTCAGTCAGTTCAACACTATAGATTGTATTTCTTCATCCCTGAGGGGAACTGGAAACAGTTGGTAATGTCTTAGTGGTAATAACCTCTTCTTCTTCCCTTGTGACTTACTACACCTCAAACAACCCCAATGGGAAATAGCTTTGGGGGCTTTTACAATTACTAAATGGATCCTGTCGTAAGTGGTAGCTACCCTGTCCTGACACTTGAAAAGTCCTGTTGAATTCAACCCACATTTGAACTTTCTCTGCAGGGTCTGTAATGGTTGTGGTGGTTGAACTCAGTCTTCAGCTCTTTTCCGTTTCTGAAGGGGTGGGACTGAGGGTACCAATGGTCTGATCACAAGGTTGGTCCCATTTTGAAACAATCCTGGGGACTGGCAAGAATCATCTCATTGCCACACAGTAAGGCCTGGTTAATATGGACTTGTTATACATATGAAAAGCTGGTCCTTTCATATTTATTGCTCTGGAACTATTTTTTGGAATTAAAAATATCCTCACAAAAATTGCAACTGAAAATGCCCTACGATCCAAAGACTTGGGAGTTCTGTGCCTAGAACCTAGGAAAGGGATCATGTATGTTTTACATCCGGGTACTGTACTATCTATCCTTATGAGTGTGGAGGTCTTGGTGATGATAGAAGAGGAGAGGCCTGTGCTCCCGAGAGTGGGTGAGGAAGGAGTGGAAATGGACTTCATGAATCTTGCCTCTGACTTTCTACCACCTTTCACATCTCTTAACCTAACGAGAGAACACATAATGTTACTAACTTTTGCCTGATGTTACTCTTGATGCACTAAGAATTTTAAGTTGATTTTGTCATAGTGGACCAGCCAAGGTGAGTCTGGTTCCTTGGTACCTGGTCACAATTTCAAGTCCAGGGATTATAGCTCCTGCCAGAGGAGCAGGCTTTTTACTCTCCTGTCAAACAGCAAGTCATAAAACTGGCCCACAACTTAATCAGTTTGCTTCAAGGATCACAAAGTCAGAACACGAAAAGAAGGGAAAGGAATATATGGATATGTAGGCAAAAGTAGATAAAAGAAAATTACTTGAGCCCACAGTGTTAGTCATGAACCAAAGATATGCTCATGAACGAAATCCTATAGATGGTTGCAGAGATCAGTCCCTTCCATGATGACAATGGACAAAGTCTGGATTGCCCCCAAATCACCAGCACTGAAGGAAAGGACTCATTTGTTTCAATAGAGCCTCCGCATGCACAGCTCAGAAGGAGTGATAGAGTCAAGACGTGTCGCAAATGTCAACCTGAATCATTCATTGGTCCTTACTATATAAGGAAATGTCTAAATATCTAAAAGCCTACACCCCAGCAGTCTCATTTGCATATTGACCTACCATTGTCAATGTGATTGCCATCGAGATGATAGATCAGTTATTTGCCTCAGTTATAGCTTGTACAACAAGAGGGGGTTCAAACTGGAGTTGGTACTGTCAAGGCATAGTCACAAGAAGATCATAATTAAAGAACCAGTTTACTCACATTCGAAAGAGCCATAAGACAGCAAAACTCACATCACGACGCGGTTGACATTTCACAACACCACTTCTGAACAATGCTCATGTGTCTTGTTCTTAATGTATGTATGCGTGTTGCGTGTGTGTGCATGAGTTGGGGACTGTTAGGTCTCAAACCTGGGCCAGCCAGCCAGCTGAGGTGCCTATTAACACATCAAAGTAGACACTGTCCTCTAGTCTCTCGCAGCATCTCCAGTAACCGTTACAGAGACATCCTGGCTGGCATACACCACCGCTAGTCTGGACTCTCCAGCCCAGGGCCTGGACTGGGCCCTTTCCACCAGCTTCTCTTCCCCACATAACTCATCCATTTTGGCTACATGGTCCTTTTTGTTTCCTGGCCTATTGACTCTCGCCTGACCTCTTGGCCTCTGGTTCCTCTCTCTTTTTCTATGGCTGGCCCTCCCACCATGCCCCTGGTTCAGTCTGGACCATTCCAGACAACTCTGGCACCTCTGGATGTGCTCTCCCTTGTATCTATTATAAAAACTTCAGCTCCTTAGGAGCAGTAGTGTCCTCCTTTTATTTTTTCATTCAAGGACATCCTCGGGTATAATTCTCAGGACACCATCTACCTCCTGTGAGTCAGGGTCTCATGGGTCTGCAGGACACCAATCAGGCTGGGCTGTTCAGACAAGAAGCTCCCAAGGTTCCACCTGTGTCTACTCCCCAGTGCTGGGATACAAGTGTATATCATTACACGTGACATTTTTAGGTAGGTTCTGGCTATCAGTTTCAGGTCCTCAAGCTTTACCATCTTGCAGCCCTCCATGAACATCTTCTTATTCTCATATGTCTCATATGTCTCAACTCTAACCATTCGATCAGACTTCTTAGTACTTTCTGGACCTGCTCAATACACGAATTAAGCCTTATATGAACTAAATAACTCACATGCGTTTTGTGAAGAACCAGCGCTCAGCAGGCCAGAGAAACTGAAGAGGAGATGTGGAGTCGTCCAACTGCTGGACACACTCACGGACTTTATCTGAGAGGCAAAGCTTAATTCTTCACTTAATTTTTCTCTGTATGCCCCGACTCTGTTCTTACTCTGCTCTGCTCTTCTGCCCAGTTGTTTTTCTTTTTCCTTGCTGTTCTCCTGCATCCTCTCTTACTTTTCTCTTATCCTAAGGCAAAAATTTCTGTGCAAGAAAAGATTACCTCACAACCACAAGTTGCATATTTTCCAAAAACAATTAAAATCTTTACAAAGGAAGAGACCACAAATTAAGATTACAAGTTACATGTTTTTCTTAGAAGTCCACAAATAGTTAAACATTTTCCTCTGTGTTAATTGTCCCACCATAGCATCCTCACCCCAAAGCATTGATTTTTTTTTTTATAATAGATGAAAAAAGATTTAAGCAAACCAAGTATATTACAGCAGGTTCCTTTTGTAGGGGCAGGAGGCTGTTTGTGGTTTGAGATCCCTATCCTTTTTCTACTCAATTAACTACCCATTTTTCTTTACACACAAGAGGGTCATTTAATTTCCTTTCACAATTTTGTTTTTTCAAGGTGCATACTGAAACCTGTGATTAATTCTGTAAGTTACGGGACTTAGGCTCAGGCCTAACTTTGGTGTAGGGACATGATTGCTTTCTTTGATCATCAGCCTGTTTCTCCACAGGCAGAATCCATGGGTCTGTAATGCATGAAACACCCTTGTTCTTATTTTCCATACTCTGCAAATCTCATATCTAACAAAGGAGAAGGTGACTTCTAGCCTATTTTTGCCTTTTTATTTATTTATGTATTTATTTATTTATTTATTTTTGTATCCCTTATTGGAGCAATTGGCAGAATAACCTAAACTACTTCCCTAATCATCTTCCCCAAATGTCTTGGCAACTTCTATCTTCTAGGCTGACTCCAAAATTTTAATTAATTAAATCATAGATCTAACTAAGCATCATTGCTCTTATAAAAATCATCTTCATTATGATCCACAAGTAAACTGCCCAGTGAGGCGCGGGATTTTCCCATGAAATAATCACACTACACTACATACAGTGGGATCCACTCATACAGGAATCAGAGCATGCCAAACACAGCAGGAGCATGCAGGAACAAGGCAGGAGTACAGAGCATGGCCCAGCAGGCAGCAGGAACAAGGGGCCATCTGGGAACAATCCTTCTGGGGCTTTGCCTGTCCAGGGCTCATTCATCGCTTAGCTTGGCTATTAGGTGCTTGAACTTCATAAGCTCCGTTGCTGCCTGGAGCTCCTCTGACATGGCCACTGACAGAGAAGGAACACTTAATTTGAGCACATTAGGAACCAAGCAGATGATGAGCCTCTTCTTGTCAGAGTTTTCAGGAACAATTTAAGGCATGTTTCTCAATTTCCTCTTTCCCATGTCTTTAAATCACTGGAAACCAGTTCAGACTGTGACTTCTTCTTTGTGTATCCAGTGTTGGCCATCTCTGGGCCATTTAGCTTGGAGCTTGTAGAGGTTGACTCTGAGCTCTGGCCAGGTCTCTTTGTCACATCTTGGAGAGACAGATACAAGAAGTCTTGACCTTCTGAGCGTAGACCTAAACAATGGTGCAAGAAAGACATTCCCAAGGTGGAGGTGAGCATTCATTGAATGGGAGTGTGTGAAGTGATGGGCAGTGGATTGGTGTGAAAAGGCAGGCAATGGGCAGGCTAAAGTGAGGGAATGGACCAAGGCAGCAAGAAGCCACATACTGAAAGGAGACGTGAAAAGACAGGACATCCATGGAAGAAGATGATACTTACAAACAAGTAAGGACATGAGAATTGCAACTGCCTGATGGTGAACTTTTTCTTGGTTTTGTGTGTGTGCGTGCTTCAGAGCTGACTTGGTCATTTAATATGGGGCATTGACAGCTTTTTCCTGCTCGAAGATTATCATTATTCTGAGCATTTTGTCAGGTTTTTCATTGCTCTGACCTTCTTGGTCTTGACATGAGTGCATCTGCTTGCTATCTGACAGGGGAGGGAGTCGGAGTCTGCTGGTCCCTGAGAGACTGGTCAGTCTCAGTGATTTCCATCCTACTCCTCAGCACCTGTTTCATCGGCAGCTGTGTGGGTAAGTTCTTCACTGACGTAGTGTCTCTTTTGGATACTTTCTTTTCTGTTCTGCAGAGACTCCTGGGGGTCATTTCTTCCTTCCCCCCATTAACTAGTCAAATCTTAATGCAACACCATGTTTTTTTTTCATTGATTTCTCTTCTTCCATCTTTTGATCTCTGAAACTTCTAAGTTAGTCCATGCTATTCATCACTGTCGTCTATGACAGTGGCATCAAATTCCCTGGTCACAACACCACTCTATTGGGAATGTAATTCCAGTGGCTTTCGTATTGTCTGCAGTTTAGAGTCTTTGATCCATATGGGATTTTTTCAATACAAGAGGAAAAAGCAGCTAAATTAAATGATGGAGATTGAAGAAATAAAACATTTCTTCCCTGTTCACCAACCCATAAAACCATATCTCAGTCCACGGTGTGAGAGGTTTGGACGGTGTTCTTTGCAGCTACAGTCTGAGTCTCTGTTTGCCGTGAAGATGATCACAGTCATTACGGAATGGTCCAGGAGGGCGTGGGAGTGGCTTATGCCAAGAGCATCATGCCTGCAGTATGCTCTGAGATGCAACAAACATCCCATTCTCACCAAAGCAGGAGGGGCTCTCATCTGCACAGTCAAGCCTAAGAAGGCAGGCTGTGCTGGTTCAGAATAGATTTTACTGGTCAGGAAGAAACAGAAGGTCAGGACCCAAAGCACAAACTAGAAATGTAGATACATTTGCTGAAGAAAGTTTGTTTTTTGTTAATGCTGTTTAATGGGCACACCCATGAGCAAAATGCTAACTTTAAAACATTAAATCTTACTTACTCAATGAAAAATTCATACTTACATACAATGTATCTTGACCATATCCACCCAAGATGTTTATGTTAACATACCCTGTGGTCTTGCCTTAAAGTTGTTTAAAGGACCAGACATTGGTGAGCCAACAGATAACTATACAGAACCAGTGACAGGGTTTGTGATTAATGGATGTAGAAGATGGAATTTCTGCTCCAGAAAACAAAGCTGATGTTATAGTCAGGGAGAAGAAAAACAAATGAGATGTAGAAACAAGCAATATAAGAGAATATGGAGGGGAGGGCTGGAGAGATGCCTCAGAGGTTAAGAGCACTGGCTGCTCTTCCAGAGGTCCTGAGTTCAATTCCCAGCAACCACATGGTGGCCAGAACCATCTGTAATGAGATCTGGTGCCCTCTTCTGGTAGTTGTGCAAGCGTACATGCAGACAGAACATTGTATACATAATAAATAAATCTTAAAAAAAGAGAGAATATAGGGGAGCAATAATTTAGTCTGCTCTTCAGTGGTTTGCCTGGAGAAGAGAAGTGGGGAGGTAGAGCGGAGGTGCATTGGCCTCGTCCACACGGAGGACATGAGCTTCTGGGGTTGACTATGTGGACATCCATCCCTTCTCTCCTCACAGTGACTTACCAGTTTGTGATGAACAAGCCCAAAACAAAACTGTCTGAACTCCATGCATACCATTCCAGTCTCACCTGCTTCAGTGAAGGGACAAGGGTGTCAGGTAAATATTCACAATATATTTCCTGACATGGGGGGGATACTAGGGTTGAGCTTAAGATTTATTTATTATAGTGTGTGTGTGTGTGTGTGTGTGTGTGTGTGTGTGTGTGTTGTGTCATGTTTCAACTTGGATACTATCAAGGTTTCTCTAAACTTACATGTTCAGTTCAGATTCTGGGTACATCCAGGAAATGATTCAATTACAATCCCCAGGCTTCTTGATTTTGGGAAATACTATCAACACACAACACATAGTTTGCAGTAAACTCTGGAAGTCATTCATAACTTTTCCCATGAGGTTTACATTCAATGTATAAAATTCTCTTTGACATTTAAGTTTCTCAATTAATACTATCCCTCTCCATTCCAAGTGCCAGCTTTATTTACTTGGAAAGCTGACTCAGCCTGAGCCTGACCCTGTCTAAAATGCACAAATAGCAAATTCATCTGTGGAGAGTTGGGAGCTGAATTGAGTGTCATATCTGACTTACCTCTGTGTGATGATGGATGCTAAAGACAGTCATATGTTTATCTGTAGTTTTCCTTAGGCTCTCAGTCTTTACACATAAAAGAAATACCATTTAGACAGATGTCAGGGGTCTCTAGCAATACGTGAAGCAAAGACAGAGCAAAAGCCCCACATATGCCTAGGAGGTGCTGCTTTTAGTTATTGGTGAGGGCATGTTGCATGAAAATGTAAAAGTGTTGTCAGTTTGCCCTGGCCATGTTTCTTTTAGCATATTAGGGTTCTTTGGGTCAAATGACTATGGAGTTGATTTATTCCTAAGGAAAACAACTCCATGAGGATAGTCTTTCTCTTATTTATTTATTTATTTTGGGAGAAACTTATACAATAATAGCTCATCTATCTAATTTGACACAAGGTTTCACATATAACCCAGGAAGGGATGGACTCCTTAGACAGCTGGAACTAGCTCGTACTCACCATCTCCCTGAGCGCAGGTATTACAGATGTGCTGGACCAGGCTACAATTGCAGTTTTAAAGAATAACTTCCTGGAAAGGAGAAATGGGCACTTCAGAGATGAGACAGAAGTGGATTTTAATGAAAAACTTTGTGTCCATTCATAAACACACCCCCTAAGCATATCTAGTTTAAAACTATGGCCAAACAGGCTGTTTGGTATAATTCATTCTATTTGTAGATAAGCTTATGTGGTGAAATTATTTTATATACTATCATATCAGAAAATATAAATAGCATTTGGGCAATGCTCTTTTGAATTAATATAACAAAAAACAACACTTACAGCAAAAATGTTATTCATGGTGGTGCATGCACAATCCCAGCACTTAGGAGGCAGAGGCAGGGAACTTCCTGTAGTTCTGAACTCAGTCTAAATCTAATCCAGAGAGTTCCAGGACTACATAGTGAGATTCTGTCTCAAAGGAAAAAAATAGCTGGGTGTCGTAGCCTGGACTGGTAACTGTGGTCTCTTAGGTTTTGTAGAACATCTGTCCAGGCTCCAAAGAAAAGTTGGGGGGTTATTATAATGGGTCAGCCTTTATAAGTTACTGTCTTGTTCCCTTGTAGCTTTTAATATTCTTTCTTTGCTCTGTATGCTTTGTGTTTTGATTAATATGTATTGTGGGGAATATCTTCTCTGATCCAGTCTATTTGCTGTTCTGTATGTGTCTTGTACCTTGACAGACATGTCCTTCTTTAGGTTGGAGACCTTCTTCTTCTTCTTCTTCTTCTCCTCCTCCTCCTCCTTCTCCCCCTTCTCCTTCTCCTCCTCCTCCTCCTTCCTTCTTCCTTCTTCTTCTTCTTTCTCCTTCTCCTTCTCCTCCTTCTTATTTATTTTTCTTATTTTACATCTTGATCCCAGTTTCCTTTCCCTCCCTCCCTCCCTCCTCCATCCCTCCCTCACTCCCTCTCTCTCTTCTACCCTCCCATGTCCCCCTACCATCCCCCCCATAGGTGGTTGGAGACATTTTCTTCTGTTCTTTTGCTGAAGATATTTTCTGTGCCTTTGATCTGGGTTTCTTTTCCTTCTTCTATTCCTCTTGGTCATAGACTTTGTTTTGTTTTAACAAGATCCCAGATTTCCTAGATGTTTTGTGCCTGGATATTTTTAGATTTTACATTGTCTTTGACTGGGGTATCCATTTTTCCTACCCTGTCTTCAGTCCCTGAGACTCTGTCTTCCATGTCTTGTGAACTATTGGTGAGGTTTGTTTCTAAGGTTTTGTTTGACTTCTTGAATTACACATTTCCAGTTTTATCTCTGGGTTTTACTTAGTGATTCTATTTTTACTTTCATGTTGTGGATTGTTTTTGTTATTTTATTCTACTGTGTGTGTTTTCACAGACTTCAAACTCAATGATAGACATTTTTTTGTTGTTTCATATTGCTTTATTTGGGCACTTAAAAATATTACTGGTCTTTTGCTTGTATTATTATTTTCAATTTTGTGTTTTTTTTTAAATGGGGCTTTCTCTGTATCAGTTGAGTCTCTCTCTCTCTCTCTCTCTCTCTCTCTCTCTCTCTCTCTCTCTCTGAATTTTTTGTGCTTTCCTTCTGTTTTAAATTCTGTTCTTTAAGAAAAGTTGCTTGTTTGTTTTCTAAAGAAAGAGAGAATGAAGGTGTGGAGTTAGTTGGGTAAGGAGGATCTGGGGGGAGAAGAAACCAGGATCAGAATATATTGTGTGAAAAATTATTTTCAATTAAAAAAATAAAAGAAAAAATAAAGTTAGCTCATAAAGACCACAAAAATATTCACTTTGGCTACATTTAAAGATAATTGGAAAATAGACTTTTTCTTCTCCAGTTAATTCCTCTCACTCAGTGAGAGTGCTACAAAGTTTGGATGCTTGAGTTAGAGCATGAACCTATGATCTGCACTCTTAATAATCAATAAATGATTGTTAAGGTTCCTGAATGTTTGATATCGGCTAAAACTTGGTGAGAAGTAACATTTACGGAGCAATTATTCTTAGTTAAGTATTGTTTAAAATGCTTCAGAGATGTTATGTGATTAAATAACCCACGAGGTCAGCACTGCTCTTAACATCAATTCTATGGCCTCAGACGATATCTCCAGAGAACAGTAAATACTGTAATTATAATAAGAAATCAATTCTGTCGAGCGGCCTCAGATCCTTGGAGTTGTGTAAAACATCAAGAAGAACTTGTCTCCTTAATCTTATTTATCTCCCCTTGTGGTCACACTTCTCGTTCATGTCACAGAAAAAATGTGGGGATGCTGCCCGAGTAACTGGAAGTCATTTGGCTCCAGCTGCTACCTCATTTCTACCAAGGAAAACATCTGGAGCATCAGCGAGCGGAAGTGCATCGAGATGGGGGCTCATTTGGCGGTGATCAACACGGAAGCTGAGCAGGTAGCTCTTTCTCATTTTTCATTAGACGTTTGTAGGAAAATGTAGCCAAATTTACTAAACTTGATCGTTTTCATTTGTCATTAATTAACTAGTTAATTAACTTTTCTCAACCGGCCCAGTTTCCCCTCCCTTTCTCCTGTTCTCCCAGGCCTCCCCCACAATCTTCCCTCTTTTACCCAGTGCGGCGCGCTCCTCTCTTCTCTTCAGAAGAGGGCAGACCTCCCATGTGTTTCAGCCAGCCATGGCATACATATCAAGTTGCAGTAAGACTGGGCGCCTCCTCTGCTCCTGAGGCTGGACAAGGCAACCTGGTAGGAGGAAAGGTCCCCAAAAGCAGCAACAGAGTCAGACACAGACCTGCTCCCACTGTTAGGAGTCTCACCAGAAGACCAACCAACACAGCTGTAACATACATGCAGAGGCAATGGTTAGTAGTGATTAGTATGTTCACTAAACATGAACAGTAGAATAAAATAACACAAACAATGCATAATATGAAAGTAAAAACAGAATCACTAAGTAAAACCCAGAGATAAGAATCCCCTAGAACTTTTTTGTCTTGCAAGACTGGAAGTCCTTGAACAAACTGTCCACTTCCCAATTCATAAAGGCTCTGGAAATCACTCCTCTACTTCCTGTTTTTTTTTCTTTTTATGAGTTTGATTACTTTAGATTCTTCATGTTAAGTGAAATCATGTATTACTATTGGGTGCGCCTGCATGCGTGTGTGTGTGTGTGTGTGTGTGTGTGTGTGTGTGTGTGTGTGTGTGTGTGTAGCTTGGTGTCCTCAAGGTTCGTCCATGTTGTAATATATAACAAAATTTTCTTTCATGTTACATCTGAATATTCCATTATATATATATATTCCCTTTTTATATAAAATTTCCCCGGTATCTTAAAGTGTGATTGACAGAAAAAAAATTCATCTATTTCCAGGGTACAATGTGATTATTTGCTATATATGTGCTTATGAACTGAATGCTCAAGCCAATTATGTTCATGTATGTATGTGTGTGGTGAGAACATTTAAAATACCACTTTCCCTCCATTCATCAAGTGGTTTTTGTATAGACTGCTCCCATTCCATGGCTGTTATGAATAGTACAGTGGGTATAGTTGTGTAAATATATATTTTAGGTCCTGCTTTTTGAAAAAGTATTCATATTTCACAATCTCATTTATGTATAAGGTTCTCTGATCAGAATGTCCCTCATCATTTTCTCTTATCCCCTTCCTCTCCCACTGCATGCCCTCTTCTTTACTAATCTCTCTCTCTCTCTCTCTCTCTCTCTCTCTCTCTCTCTAGTGGATGAGACTCATATTTCAATAGCATTGCCTGCATGAGCATGAGTGTGCAGCCACCTCTGAGAAATAGGACTCCTTTTATACCAGCAACTGTTAATTACCATAGCTCCTCAGGGAGGGATGAGGTCTTACCAGCCCCTCCCACACCCATGATGGAATGTTGATGGATCCCGCCTTGTGAGTGTCTGTCACAGGTAGCCATTGCTGCTGTGAGTTTCAGCGCTTGTATCTTCCTCTCTGTGCCATGTTCACTGACCTTGGTGTGCCGTGACGTAGCTGTCCCATTGAAGAGCACTGACCAGTTATGAATCTCTGTACTGACCGTCACCCACTGCGAAGAGGGGCTTTTCCGATCAGCATCTTATAAGGAGGTATCTAGAAAAAACACTAGGGTTTCAAAAAATAACTTACAGAGCATCTATGCCCATGGTGGTTAACTCCCTTAAAATTCCATGTTAAAGACTGCGTTTTTAATTGGCTTACACAACAGCGGTTTCCCATGTGACTTTCCCACCCACCCTTAGTTTTGGTTAACCCTCCCGCACCCAGGCATCTCCCTCATCACCCACCACACTCTCACTCAAACCTTTACATTCCCAGTATTTACTCCGTTTACTTTCACTTGGTTCTGCTATCCCTCCTCCTATAAGGCATTTCCTCCCTTTCCCACCAATGGTCCCTTTCTAGTTTCCTGGACTCTACAGGTAAGTTAAACACAAATCTAAAAATTCCAAGATAAAATCTCCATAGAGATACATTTGATTTGTCTTCCTGGGCTTAGATTACCTCAGTAATTTTTTTCCCACCCCATTGATTTACCTGTAAATTTCACAATTTTACTTTCTTTACAGTTCCATAGTGTACATGTATCACATTTTTCATTGTCCATTTTCAGTTGATGGATATCTAGATCAATCTTACCCGCTGTGCATAGAGTAGCAATGAACATGGATGAGTAAACCCCTCTGTAATAGTCCTCTGGGTATGTGCCCAGGAGTGATACAGTTGCGTCACATGGCATCTCTAGCTTTAGTGTTTTGAGAAACCACCAAAAATAAGCATTTCTCTTTCCCCATATTCTTGTCAGTATTTGTTCTCACTTGTTCCCTTGATGACAGCTGCTCTGGTTGGGGTGATTCTAAATCTCAAACTAGTTTTAATTTGCATTTCCCTGGTGACTAATGATGTTGAACCCTTTTAATCTGATAGTTTCACATGTGAGTGCATGAGTGTTTGTAGCATTTCCATCCTTTCCTGTTTCCTGTTCCTTCTGTTGGACATCTTTTAATATTTCTGTTGGCCATTTGTATATTTTCTTTGGGAAAATGTCAACTCACCCCCCCCTCACCCCGGCCAAGTTTTTAATTGTGTTATTCTTTTACTTTTGTTGGTTTATAGGTGTTCTTTATTTATTTTGGATGTTAGTCCCTTATCAGATATATGGCTTGCAAATGTCTTCTCCGGTACCACTGGTGGCTTTTTTACTTGCTGACTTTTTTTTTTGTTGTGAAAAAGCTTTTTGGTTTGCTGTATTCCTTTGTCTATTTTTATTTTGTTGCCTGTCCTGTCTGTACCATGTCCCAGAATACCTTGCTAATTCCAATGTAGCGGAGCCCTTACCTTGGATTTCCTCCCAGGACTTTATAGTTTTGCACCATTCAGTTAGGTCTTTGAAGCTCCTTGAACTGGCTTCTGTATGAAGAATGGACTAGCTTTGTTCTTTTCCCGTAGTGTTCATTCCCAACACATTTGTTGAAGAGTCTGTTCTTTTCTCATCATACGATCTTGGTACTTGGCCAGAGATCATTTGACTATACATATGAGTTTACTTATGCACCCCAGGAAAATGGAGTCTCTCCACTGAGTGCTCTTTGCTTTCCTTAGTCAATGTCTTCTAGTTTTCAGAATACATTGTTTTGCTTGCTGAGTGAATCGGTTGTCCTCTGGGTTAAGCTTATTCTTCGGTATTTTATTCTTGATGTTATTGTAAAGAGCCATTCTCTTTTCAGACTGGTTTTGTTCTTGTTGCTTTTGTTAGTGTGAAGAAATGGCATTGATTTTTATATGTTGATTTTGATATATCTCCAGTCAGAGTTCAAAGGCCTGAGAACTAGGGGCATCAAAAGGCTATCTCTATCCAAGCAGGCAGGCAGGAAGCAAAATAAGAGGGACTCCTGCTTCCTTTGATTTGTTGTTCTATTCGGGATGTTAAATGTTTGAATGATGACTACTGATGATAGATGGCAAGCTAGCTTACTGAGATCACAGAGCCTGTGGAAACACATCACAAACATATTCAGAAACTATTAATCTGGCTGTCTCTTGACCTTGCCAAGTAGAGACATAGAATCCAATATTATAACATTTAAGCACATAGCATTTTAAAAGAGATTAAAATATAAAAAAATAACCTCCTGGAATTAGAGATTATCCTTTTGGTTGGTGAAGAAGACCGGTGAGGGTTCATGGGCTTGGGCCTTCTGGCCTTGCCACCGTGTTGGTATTTTGGTTCTTGTGCTGCTGGTACTTTTCTTCTATTTTGTACGGCTGTGAAGGATGCTCAGCCTGTTCAACAAGGGCACCTGCAGCTTTAACTCCCTTTCATCCATACAGAACTTCATCACCCAACAGCTGAATAAGTCGGTTGCTTACTTCCTGGGCCTTTCTGATCCACGAGGTAACGGCAACTGGCAATGGATCGATAACACTCCTTTCAATCAAAACGTCAGGTGAGTGCAGTCCTGGGTTAATGCACCACTGGGATTATTTACATTGAAAACTGAGGGAAAGTTTGCTAGCAGTGACTATTAATATTAATGATTACAGAGACTAAGTTCTCACTAACTGCATGAATAATCTAAAGTTTCATGAAACTTCTCTGTTAGAAATTCACTTTACATATGAAATATTGAGTAATAACTTCCTCAAGATCAATAGACCAATAAAATGAGAAACTGCATTTAACCCAGTGTCTACCTGGTGTTCTCAGCCATTAGATTTTTCTGCCTTTAAACACAACTAGAGACTTAAATTAATTTATTGATCTCTAATAAATAAAATTTTAAAATAACTGGATCAGGATTATGACAAATAGAAAAATTACATAATAATTCTTTTGTTATTTTTAAGTGAATTTACTGATATATTACCTTATTTTACCCTCATGCAGTCTTGTGAGTTCCTTTGAATCCTTTACTAAATTTATTTCTATTTCTTTTTATGATTTTCATCTTTATACACAAAGAATTTAAAATAAAAAAAAAACTAAATGTCTTGATCGGGGTTAAAGTGAATTTGAAGTTAAACAATATTTTATTTATTTATCTTCCCCTTTTATTAGACATAAATATTTTTCTCATACAAAATAATCTGGATATATTTCCCCTCCATCTACTCCTCCAAGTTCCTCCCCACCCCTCTCCTATCTGTATCTACTCCCTTTTCGCCTCTCATTAGAAAAGAACAGGTTTCTAGGAGATAACAATAAAGCATAACAAAATAAAATATAGCACGATAAAATGAAAACCATCACATCACAGTTGAAGAAGCCAAGCCAAGAGAAGGCACAAGAATCGGAGAGACTCCCCCTCCTTACCCATTCATAAATAAATCCCATAAAAGTACTAAGCTAGAAGCTACAGTACATATGCAGAGGACTTGGTGCAGACCCCTGCCAGCCCTGTGCATGCTGCTTCAGTCTCTGTGAGTGCGCAGATCAAGATTCACGGGACTAGGTTCAATATAGGACAATATAATTTTATTCGGGGAGAGCCACTTACACAAGAAACAGAGGACCGCCACAATCCTGCATCAAGGATCCACTCAGGCTACTCTCTGTGACCTGGCCGGAAGCAGGAGAGTGAGAGCTGGGGCTGGGACCCCAGACCTAGTCCTACCACATCATGCCCACACCTGTGACCACGCCCAAAAGGGCGTGGTCAGCACTACAGGTGTGGGGGGTGGGGGTGAATGTCTCACTGCATGTGATTTCATGAGTTTTGCTCCCGTTGACTTAGAGGGCTTTGTTCTCCTGGTGTCATCTGTCCCCTCTGTCTTCCCCACTCATTCCTTCTCTTCCACACTGGGTACCCTGAGGGGGGAGGGATTTGATGGGGACATCTTGTTTAGACCTGTGTGGTCAAGGTTTCTCTCTGTGTAATCTCTTGCTGTGGGTCTCTGTATTTGTTCCCATCTGAAGCCTCTCTGATGATGGATGAATAAAGCACCGATCTGTGAGTACAGCAGAATATCTTTAGGATTCATTTTATTGTTACATCTATTTGTTTTAAGACCGCTGGCATTTGGTTTTACTCTAGTTAATTAAACAAGTATTTTAGTTCAAAAAGTAAGGCCCACTCCTATGTCTATCCCCTGCTATCGCCCTCAAAGTAGGTAGATAACTCACATTCAGTTAGGAAGCCGATAGTAGGAAGCAGCCTCTGTGAATGCCAAAGAGAAAAGAACTTTCACTAACTTATTTCACAATGAGAGATTTGTGAAGAAGAGAAAGTAAACACTGGATCGCAGGGAAAAGGTCAAGGTGTACCACATCAGGAAAAAAAAAAAAATCTATGTAAAACTGCCTGTATTTGGTATTTTAGAAGTGGGTTGTATGAGAGAGGGGAGAAAATGCTGGAATCTTCTCTTATCTTCAGCTGTGTTCCAATTAACCTTAAACTCCATCTTTCAAGTTACCACTGTGCATCAATGGAGGAGTTATTTCCATCTTCTGTTTCCTGCAGGTTCTGGCACATACATGAGCCCAACCTGCCTGAAGAGCGGTGTGCTTCAATTGTGTACTGGCACCCTATGCAATGGGGCTGGAATGATGTGTTCTGTGATGGTAAATACAACTCAATATGTGAGATGAAGAAGACTTACCTATGAGTGGCATTTTGTTCATTTATACCTTCAAAGTCTCTTGGCATGTCACGTGACTGCAGCCATTCTTTTCCTAGCTGTTCCTTTTGACTGATGACAGAATGTATCCTTCCTCTCTGTGACGGATAGTCTTGTCAATTGGACACAAACTAGAATCACCTGGGAGGAGGAATCCCCAGCTAGGGAGTTGCCTCCATCAGACTGGCTTGTCAGCATGTCTGTGGGGCATTTCCTTGATATGATTATTGAAAGAGAGTCCAGTGGGTACTGGGTAGGTGGTCGTGGGTGATGGAAGAAAGCAAGTTAAAAAAGGCATGGCAAGCAAGCCCGTAAGCATTGTCCCTTCATCTCTGCCCCAGGCTCTTGCTCTGGCTTCTTTCTGCAATGAACTGTTGTTACTTGAAAGTATAAGATGAAATAAATCACTTTCTCCAAGCTGCTTCTGGTCAGTGCTTTGTTTTTTGTTTGGTTTTGATTTTTGTTGTTGTTGTTTTTCCCCCCACTGCAACAGAGAAGCAAACTAGGATACCTCTTTATTCTGCTCTTTCATTTATGGTTCATGGCTTTCCTCCTTTCTTCCTACTTCTACAAACATTCCTCTTTCAAGACTGTACTCTTTGGGTTGTTAGAAGATTTACAATACAGTATTGTTTGAAAGTCACTTCATCCTCAAAATGCCATCGGAAAATCCCCTGGTGAAGGTTGTGGCTATGGCTAGAGCCACAACCATCTGGGAACCAGACAGGAGCTCAACTCTGCTTTCTCGGCGCTTACTCTGGCGGCTGGCACCAGCTTGTTGCTGGCAGCTTGTGTGTGTTCAGAGCCACCTTCCACTTGAGAAAGTGACCCCAAAATCTAAAGCTGCAGTTTTTCACGAGGCAGCTTCAGAATTTACTCACAACCAGAGAAGATAATCAATGCCCCAAAGTATGAATAAAGGAAATTGAGAGTCTGTTGGAGACCATCTCGGAGCCTGGTTATGCCAGGCCTCCTTTAAGAAACAAAACAGGTATAACAAAAAGGAATAGAATCAAAAGTTCTTCACTATGATGAACTTCCATTTACCAAAATGAGAAAAATTTTCAAACATATATCAATAACACAATATTAGTACAAAGGATATATAAACGACTGTCACATGAATTAGAAAAAGTCAAAGTGAATAAAATATTTGAACAAATATGACATAGAGGAATACATGCATTCATTCAGTGTCATTCAGTGTTGGTGCCATATCAGAGGGCAGCAGGTGGTAATTGACTGCCCACCAGGAAACAAGGGATCTCAGGCAGACACGGTCCCAGAATGTCTTTTGTTACTGCCGCATCTTTGCATGTTTGCAGCTGCCATTTTCCTCTGGTATCTGCCCTTAATATAGTATGATCATCTCTTGGGAATATCCTGTTCTATGGCCATTCTTACCTGTGGATCATTACGAAGATGATTTCCTCCTAAACTGTACTGTTTAAATGAATAAGTGATTTTATATAGCAATAGTGTTAACTCAAACAGAACTTTGATGATTAAGGGTTTTTAATAAATAAAGTAAGGAATTATGATAGAGGTTAATTTAGTGGGAAAATCAACACAGCTAGAATGCATGAGTTTCTTTTGAGGAGCTGTAGACTGTGGCTTTGGTTGATGATTTAAAACAATGATTGAGCCCCAGTTGCCCAGCTAGCTTAAACTCTTTTAATCTTAATGTTGGGAGATGTGTTCACAGGTTTCAGAGTGCACCATAGCAGAAACAAAGCTTTGGGAATGACTTAAAGTTAGACTAAGATGTTTTTCTCAAATAGCTTTGGGGCAAAAAATCCAAGAAGACAATCTGAAGTTCACAAGGACACATAGCCGAGTGATAGACTTATTAAGGTTAGGGATGAAAAACAAAGCTATTATTAGCTGACGTACCTTTCTTGCTTGGTTAGTGATCAAAAATGATGATTAATTCCTTGTACCCATTTCTACCCTCAACTCCCTGTCATAAACAAAACAAAACAAAAACCAACAAACTACTGATGAGTGGGTATGCACCCTTAAGTAGCGATGACTGATTGTTTTTTATATACAAAAGTTTGGGTCTGTGATTCTTTTAAGATTCCTTATATTACCTTTTAAGATTAGTAAAGTGATTGATTCCTTCTTTGTAACTGCAATATGTAGCCTACCAGCAAAAGAACTGGCTGAGAAAAATACCCTGCTTGCCCACACTCTGTTAATCTATAACAAGTTACTTAGTTACGTGGCTTCTTGGATGATTTTGTTTAATCATGAAAAGGAAATGGGGAACTTGGTTTTACCTATACTCATTACAATCATTCACTTGAAAAATAGAATGTAACCACATTGTAATCTCTATATTGCTTAAAAGATTCTACTGGGGTTTATAAGCTATAAGGGAAAAAATTAACGTTAGTTAGAAAGACATCAACAACGAGAGAGGGAAAACACCAGGAAAGGTGTAGGGAAAAACAATAAATAAAAAGCCAGCAGGAAGTCAGTGTGGTGAGATTTTGTTGTTTTGTTTTTCTTTTCTCTCTCTCTCTCTCTCTCTCTCTCTCTCTCTCTCTCTCTCTCTCTCTTTTTGAGACAGGGCCCCTCTGTGTAGTCCCAACTGTCCTGGAATTCAATTAGTAGACCAGATTGGCCTCGAACTCAAACTCATAAAAGACCCACCTGCTCCTGCCTTTCAAGTGCTACTATTAAAGGCATGCACCACCATCGATCATCACTCAGTTCAGACGCAAGCTCTTTAACTTGTATACTGACATGATAGTGTTAGGAATGTTGTGTGAATAAATCAAGAATATTTGAAAGACAAAAGAAAGGGTGTATGCGTGTGATTTTTCCCCTTACTCCCTCAGATAAAAAAGTCTTAGCTTACTACTCCAGAGATGCCCATCGAACCGTGTGATGCTGGAGGCTGGTCTTCATGGTGGCAGCAATTTAGCAAATACTATTGTATAGAAGTGTTTCACTTGTAATTTGGGAGCTGCACATCAACATTAGAATACACCATACATATTATGTATGCTTCTTTGTTGGTGAGTGTATATGTAAATGTTCACGTGTGTGTTCGTGCATGTATGGAGGCCAGAGGTAGATGTTGGGTGTTTTAATTTTTTGCTACTGTGCCTTTTGAGCTCACTGGTTTGACTAGGCTGACTGGACAGCAAACACCAGAAGTCTTCCTGTCTCTATCTCCCCAGTGCTGGGATTATCGGCAAGCGCCACTGTGCTTGGCTTTTTTTTTTTTTTTTTTTTTTACACGAGTCCTGGGGATCTGAACTTAGGTCAGAGGTCAGCCAGGACTTTATCAATTGGTCCATCTTTCCAGCTTCGTAGAGGGTCTCTCTACATAGACCAGACTGGCCTCAAACTCACAGAGATCCTCTTGCCTCTACCTCCAGAGTTCTGGGATTCCAGGTATGAGCCAATACAGCTGGCTACAAATACATCTTAGGGACAAAACTGGAGACAGGTTAATACCAACTGTTGGGGGAAATGTAGGTGAATGCGTCACAATAACTGTATATTGTTACTTTAGCTAGCTTTGGCACCTCTGCTTAGGGAAGTTGATCAATGGCCATTTTCGTATGTAAACACCACCCAACTCTATGTTTATGATGCTTGAGGTGTGTGAACACATAAGCCTATGACAGAAAAAAAGTCTAGTTTCTGCATTGACTCATGTTGCTCTTGCAACAAACATCAAGCAGAATAAAACAAGTGTCAAAAGAATAGATTATGATGAATTAAAAATCACTAATATGTCAGAGATTATGATATGACAAGTATGTAACAGATATAGGACACACACATCTATCTACACTGTTGGGTGGTAAACTTTCTTCAAGGTATGCTATAGAAATTAGTATTTTCTAATTCCTCCCCTCTCAATCTCATGACTTTTCTTTTCCAGCTTCTTGTGCTTTTTCCCATCTCCCAGTCCACTTAGTGCTGCCTGTGAGTGCCTGGTTGTGGGGCCATCTACTGGAGCACGGTTAGCCTTACAGGGGCTACATCCCTGAAACAAAATGGACTTTCCCTCCCCCAGCAGCTTCTAAGCTAGGGGTGACAGACACCTCAGGAGCTCCTTCCATGCTTGTAGAGGTCTTGTGCATGTAGTCACAATTTCTGTGAGTTCAAAGACCTGTTTCATTGCAGTCACCCACTACTTCTGGCCCTGACAACCTTTCCACCACATCTTTTCATGATGCTCCTTGAGCCTTGGGGTAAGGAATGCGGTGTAGATGTCCAATTTTGGACTGAACATTCTGTAATCTCTCTCTCTCTCCCTCTCTCTCTCTCTCTCTCTCTCTCTCTCTCTCTCTCTCTCTCACACACACACACACACACACACAAACTTTTTTCCAGGCAGGGTCTCTGGTTGACCTGGAACTCATTAAGTAGACCAGGCTGACCTTAAACTCTGAGTTCCTCCTGCCTCTGCCTCCCTAGTTTAATTATTCTACATGTAGCTATCAGTTTGACTAGCACTGTTTGTTGAAGAGGCTCTTTTTGCTAGTGTCTATTTTTTGGCCTCTTTGGAAAAAAAAGAGTGTGGACTTATCCTCAGTTTTACTCCACTGATAAATGAGTCTGTTTTTATGCTGATATCATGCTGTTTGTATTACTATAGCTCTGTCATATAACTTGTAACCAGGGATGGTGATCCTTCCAGCGTTGTTCTTACTCAGGATTGTTTTGGCTGTTCTGGGCCTTTTGTGTTTCTATATTAACTTTAAGATTATTTTTCCAATTTCTGTGAAGAATTACATTATCATTTTGATAGTGATTGCATTGAATCTGTAGATTGCTTTTAGTAGGATGGTCATTTTTGCAGTACTAATTTAATTTGTGGTGATCTATATGATTTAATAAAGCTTGCCTGGAGATCGGAATGCAAACAAGCCACAGCACTAGATGTTGGGTGGTGGTGGCATGCACCTTTAATCCCAGGACTCAGGAAAGACAAAGGCAGATGGATCTCTGTCACCCAGTGCTACGCGAGAGTGAATTAGTCTAAAAGAGAAACAGAGCTCACACCTTTAATCCCAGAACTAGAGAGGCATGTAAGAAGCAAAGGGTCGCTTGTGAGACTCAGTTTCCAGTCACAGGAAAGATAGACTCTCCAATTCAGGCTTGGTAGAGGTAAGAGCTCCTGGCTGACTGCTTTGCTTTTCTGATCTCCAGCTTTAACCCCAATATCTGTCTCTGTGTTTTTATTATTCATGTTGCATTAATCCTACCAATCCATGAGCATGGGGAGGTGGGTATCATTCCATGTGCTTGTATCTCCTTCAGTTTCTTCATTGACTTAAAGTTTTCATTGTATGTTTTCCTCCCCCCCCCCCCGCTTTATAATTTTATTTTTGTTGCTATTGTAAAAAAAAAAATCCTTGGTTAGATTTATTGCAAGACTTTTTAAAAATCCA